GCAGTTGATCGTAGAGAAATGCTCAGGTAAAGATCTTACAAACATATTAAGAGACCTGAACGTTAAGTTCGGAATGAACAGCACTGGTTACGAAGATATCATGATTCGACAGGAACTGGAAAAGACGGATGAGAATAGTTAAAGGCCTGGAAATTTCCTTGCTCTCAACAAAATCATCACACTTGTTATCGTATTCCCCTCACAAACTTATGTGGGTTTCACCGGACTGCACTCCAGAGAACAACATCGATCATATTTGCATCAATGAAAAATTCAGACAATCTGTGGAAGACCAGAGGACAAGGAGAGGAGCTGATCTAGGTTCAGGCTACTGCCTGTTGGTGGATAATATGAGGATGAAGTTAAAGAAAGATTAGACACCACCAAAGTCAGAATTTTCAGTACAAACTGAAACCTGGAGAATTAATACAACCATTATCAAAAAGGTATAGGTATTTATAAACAAAGTCTACTCAAGATACTTCGAATCCGTTGACCAAAAACAATCAGCAACAACTTTTGTGTCAGAGAAGAAATCGGCTTCCAGTTGTGGAAGAAACTAGGAAAAGACATTGGAGGTTAATAAGACACACATTTTGGAAATCAACAAACTGCATCATAAAGTATGCCTATGCTTCACAAGGAATAACAGGCGTAAGTAAAGAAATAGCTATTAATAATAAGTGATTTGCGTAACAACAGTACCTAATAGTATTGCTCATGGCATTCATGATGTTGATGTGATGACAGGGCCGCAATATATATATATATATATATATATATATATATATATATATATATATATATATATATATATATATATATATATATATATATATATATATATATATAACGCGAAAACATATTCCCCAATAAACTAAAATAAATGGATTGAAAAATTGCACAATGTTATCGAGAAGAGCGAGTTACTGACGGGAACGAACAGTTGATTTAACATACTGTGTTTCGACGTATGCATGTTATTCGCACACTTTTCATAAATGTTTGTGACAACAAATTCATCTAAATTAAATTTGGTTGAAAATATTTTAAGAAAGTCATCTATCCTGTCACATTTTATCGAATCAAATTTAATAAAGTGCCGTTAATCATTAATCTGTCTTTATAAATGACACTTCAATCCTCGTTGATTATGGAGATGGGCTGGATCTGTCAACTAAACTGAATTTGAAATATTGTCTGAGAAAAATTGGTTTTGCTGTTTTTAACAAACCCATAACAAGTTGATAGAACTTTTATAGAATCTAATTTAATTACTAGCGAGAAATCTCAACACTTGACTACGGTAGTCATCTAGAAGTATAAAACAGGCTTCATAGAAAGCCTTATTTATCGAATGAATGATACTAATAGGTAGTGAATATGATATAATGGGACGGGTAGTGCGGATGCATAACTGTTGAGACTATTATGAGCATGTTTACTATTTATGTTATTATATAACTGGTAAATAATTGTCTTGTTGCATTTCTATGTCCTCCGATTTCTATACTTTCATTTTATCCATAAATCATTATCCCAGGTTTATCATTAGTTGACTAATTCCATATCAATCTTGTGTTGTATCACTTATGTCTAAGCTAAGAGATATATTATGATTCCTTAATTGTGTTACTGTGTAGTCAAACATATCCAGTATATTGTTGTGTGAGTTGTCAGTCATGATTTAATTGAGCATAATAAAGAGGTGATTTACTCTTTACATTTATCTTTTGGTTGACCACTGGTTTATGAGTTGGAAGACCAATAAGCATTAAAGTCTTAGTTGTTGCTCATTGGTCTGTATGTCAGTTGGCAAATAGGTCACCTGTTTTACTGGTAATGTATGTGAACGGTTCGATGATCAAACAAGCGAGAGATTAGATAACCGCTTTCTCATTATTAAGACCCGACCACACAAGACCCAATAAAACCCAAAAAAGCAATCTGTTTTGTCCCCTACATGACAATATTCTTTAGTTAGTCAGAATGATTTATACGGTGAACGCGTGGATAGGTGGCCTTAGCTGAGTAAATAACTCAGCTGTTTATTATAGACTGGCTAGGCTAACATTCGGTTTACTAAACGATCTTGGAACATCGTGTAACTTGGGAATTCATCCTTCACCTGTTTAGTGTATCAAAGGGATCGGAAAGAATTTAAGTTTAGTATAAGCAATGCTTATGAAACTACGCCTTCCTCATTTTGATAATAAATTTGCTAGATCACAAGGAGTACTATTGAAAAATACTGTCCAATCAAATGTCTACTTTAAAAGGAATATGAAAGATTTTTCATAGGTGAGTCTACAAGCATTATAAACCTAAAAGACGAAGTTCTGAAAGACGTCGTTTTGAACAACAAACATTACATTAAAATAAAATATGTAAACGACAGGCTGAATACTTTCAGACAGCTTCCTAAAATCAATTATAATCAGTACTGCTACAGGTCATAGAAAATAAAGTTCTTTCATTAATAGATGAAACAAGATAGCAGGAACTGGTCTAAAAATGAGGAAAACAAAAAACCATATTATCAAAAGCTGGAAAGCAATTCATGTTTTGCATGCTGCATGATTAGAATCACAATTGTAATCGTCATTGAATAAAGAAAAACTCAGAAAAATAAATAAGCAAACAAGCTGTAATTATTTAAAAACAATTTCTATAAGTTTCATAAAAACTGAAATGAGTAAAGTCGTTATTTCAAGTAAGGAAGAGCTACAAAATACAGGCTGTGTACCACAGTTAGCGGGTATAACCCTAAATTACTGACCGTTTCTTCTATGTTGATAAGGCACACTTACCATTCATTCGCAAACATCCTTAAGGAGACTGCTTTAATTCAACAGAAACTTAACATTCAGTCAGTCAGTCAGCTACAACGTAGGACCAGGCACATATATGCATCGGTCCAAGTTGCCATACCTTATTAGCACAGCAAGATGAACACGGAATTCATAGAAGTAGTTAATTCTGAAACTTAACATATATGTGTCTTTTCACTGGTACAAATACATTTCACTGGACACCAGATTCCCAACGAGTTGTACAAGGTCATTTGAGACATTTCACGTAACATATACAACAACCAACTGTGGGAAAGAACAAACCAGATCCCAACGGAGGAAGAAATTAGGAAGAAGCGCTGGAAGTGGATAGGACACACATTGAGGAAAGCACCCGACTGTGTCACAAGACAAGCCCTCACATGGAATCCTCAAGGCCAAAGGAAAAGAGGAAGACCAAAGAACACATTACGCCGAGAAATGGAGATAGACATGAGAAAAATGAACAAGAATTGGATGGAATTAGAAGAGAAGGCCCAGGACAGAGTGGGTTAGGGAATGCTGGTCGGTGGCCTATGCTCCATTAAGAGTAACAGGCGTAATTAAGTAAGTAATGTGAAAAGCAAGTAAATGAAGAGCCTATATGCATAACAGGCACCACTGTCAGTCAGTAAACAAAAGCACTCGGCTAAAACTGAGTGGAAAACCTTTCCGCCATCGCGTTTTAAAAAAGTTATACAGAAAGCTTAATGAATGGTTTGTTAAGATTATTCCAATCTCAGCATACAATCGTAAAACTGAAAGCGTAGTTGTCATCATGAATGAAAGTGCTTCTTTCAGTTATTTATACGAAGTTACTACACAAATTGATTATAAATAGCATCTGACGATGATATATTTTGTTAAACTGCACTTGATAGTTTTTGAAGATATTTGCATATAGAATGTGTGACTTAGTTGAATATCACTTAGCTGATTGCCCATAACTACTCAAAATTAGATACAGCCAATCGTATATTCGAATTACTTATCTTAGTAATTATATTCTAAACCCATTTGACAGAATCCAATCAATGGTAGCACTTCATGCATAGAGGCACATTAATCAGATAGGACTCTAAAAGCAAGTGATTATTTTGTATTTATTACCGAACCAAAGTCACTGTTAAGCAAACCGTCATTAAAAGCTTTAAATCAGACGTCGAAATATAAAGATTTGTGAGATACTTTTTCCCAAGTACACTTTAGAAATTAACAAAAATAAACAACAGTTTGGTGTCCAAAGGGTAAAAGGACTGTTTGCAATGTTCTCAACCAACACACTCGAAGACAAGAAAAACATAAATTGCACAATCCCCAAGAGCTTAACTAAACGTCCAAGGTTACACAAATTAACGCTATTGATTAATATGACAATAGGACCAACCTTGTACACAAGTATGGAATTATGAAAGGATATTTAATTGTATTCTAAAACACCATCAGTGTACTACTAATTTACCCCTTAAAACTAAGTGTAGAATTGGATATCACCGTTAAACAAAATCAATGGAAAGATGGTGATTGTGGCTGAAAGAAAACCTAGGCCAATATCGTTTCTTTACAAGCTGTCGCCCTAAATTCAAACGACTGAGGGATAGGAACAGATTTCAAGACAAATATAAGCTGCGTATAATTCCCTCTCATCAGAAGACAAATACATAAGGTATGTTTGTCTAGCCAAACTTCGCATATAACCCCCGTGCCAGGAAATCGCCCTTCATACAAAGCGACAAGGATATTTTATTGTAGAAGCATAACGTATGATCTTATTCTCCGGCTGAATATAGGCATTCACCCTGAATGGGGCTCCGATTTAGTACATAAACTTGCTAGTGTCCCACTATCTAACTAATCCTACAAAAGGACTAGCGATTTCGAAAGTTACTGTAACTTAATTTCTGGTCTTTTTGTTAATATCATATCTACTATCATGTGCTTATTATCGTGTACTAACTTTCGTTTCTAATCTGTTGTAAAAGTAATGACAGTAATAATCATTACAGTCACTCATTCCCACTTAATTGTATCATCCGTAAAACAACAGAATGACAAATCCATCACACGAAAGTCTATCACATGCAAATTACGAATCAATATGAATGTAGTTGTCCAATTGGTCAATCATATTTGGCCAATCTGTAAACTGCCCATCTAGATTTTGTGTAGCAAATCATAAGTCTTGTCACCCTTCTTTTTCTGATTGGCTCGAGAAACTGGATTCATGGATGTTGTGTTCATGACGAGAACATAACGGAAATCACTTTTCAAAACAGCATTATTTCGTCAGGCTATACAGAAAGTAGCGGCCGGATTTGTTTGAAGTACTTTATAGTTTGTCAGGATGTGTAAAGTAATCTCGAGTACAATTTTAGTACTGTTCAACATCCCACTTGTGGTATGCTTCCTTTTTTGAACTGTTGATTTACATGTGTTGTTTAATTAATATCTCATTTTATTCTGTCAACGTAAAATTACTGAATAACGTTCATAAGTAACTATAGTTAGTTGAGTTTTCTAATCATCACGATCTGGTGAAAAGTTGGTTTAATAGATCTTAACTGAAACCATTTAAGTAATGTTTAAAAGTATAGAGTGGTAACTAACTAGGACTAAATTTTCAACCTGAATTGAAATTACCAGACAAACTGGCTTATCAAATGTTGAGGACTTTGTCCCTATGCTTTAAATCAGAGTTCAATCGTCCAGTCTTCATGAGGTGGACGACGGCTTTCTGTGCTAAGATTATTCCAATATCAGCATACAATCATAAAACGCAAAGCATAGTTGTCAGTATGATCATGATTTTCAAAGATTTGCCCCTGTATATGATTAACCTAGTGAAGCAAAATTCTAGTTAAGCCTTCAAACACGGCCATCTATTTGATGTTGATAGTATATTTTAACTCTGTATGACTATTGGTAAATCGCGCAAACTGGATTTCAGCATTGTACAATTCCACTATCAAGAACAGTTCAGTACATCATGAACACGATAATTATAAGTAAAATAATTAGCTAGGCCAGAAAATTGCATTCAAGAGAACATTTCTGAAGTAACTATATTTTTCTTGTGATGGATAAACTGATTTAATACACTACTTGTAATCCAGGAGAACATATTCATGTTGTTTTATCGTTAAGCATTACTGAATTCGTCCATTTTCACTTGTTCTTTTCGACTTCTTGATTAATCATATGAATTCAGCCCCTTTATTTATTTACCTGATTGGATTTGTTTTAGTGTGAAGTTCAATAATACTAGCTGATACATATTTGTACCCGGTCCCACATTCATCATTAAATGACTAAAGCTGATAAGCAGAGCTTCCCTTCTATTTTAATTAATGACTAGAAATGTGCAGCAAGCCGATATTTTTTCTTACCAGTAAGTTCGGCCAAAAGCACCTTAAGTTGTCCAATCATGTAAATGAAAAGGTTTTTTTAAGTTTACGAAGGATGTTACAATGACATTTCTGATTGGATAACAAGAAAAACACCTTTGTACAAATTCAAAACTGACACAAATATCACTACTGATAGTGGACTCCGGTTTTAGTACTAAGGCTTTTTGATATCTGATTTGAACTACCAGCAGCTGTGATGTAGCCACATTTGTATTTGGGTTCATTCGAAGCTACGCAACTATACTGTCCGGTTATATTTGCATTATTGATTTCTCTGACATTGTAAATCTTAGAATATTTGAGAATTTATTTTCGTTCATCGTAAGTTGTCATCCTTCCAATGTATAAAAGCCGAAAGATTCGTTAGCACATGTGTTTTAAACAAACCTAAATACACCTGAATGATGTGAGTATTAGGATACTATTGACACCAATCATTTGAAGATCTAGTTTGTTTTCGAGGTGTTTTTTTGCACACTTATCATACATTTGCACTCCTAAATGGATTATTTTCATTAGAAAACTGATCTGTACCATGTTTTTATGTGGTAAAAAGTTACTCAGTTACGTGAAATGTTGATTAAAAATATGAGAATCTCAAAGCAATTCGATCGTTAGTCTCTTGTGGGACATGAATAAGCTAAATGATCAAAATCTGTAAGATATTTAGATCCATATCATGTACGATAATATACCAAATCATAAATTTGTTTTTCCCTGTTTTAGTGACATACTAGTAAACAACGGTGGAATTTGTTCTGTATAAGTTACGATATTCTGACTACTAGCTTACACCTAATTTATTTTTAGTATGACAATAGTTGTGTTTCATTAACCAACTTCTCATACATACAATTTTAATTTAGCAAATATATTAAAAATTAAACTTTAAACAATGTAATATAAAGGCTATTTGGTTCTGTATCATAGTGATTGGTATGAAAGGGTGTCACAATATGTAGGAATTGTGGCTTTCAATGTAATTTAAGACGACTAATAAAACTGATAAAGTACTTGGGTATTCTCTGAGTTTAAACGAATGACTTGCAGGCTAACAATTAACTCTCTGAGTAGTCGAACGATTAAGGCCTATTTTTACTTCATTAAGAGTGGTAAGAAGATTGAATTGAATGTTTGTTTTTTATTTATCTAGCTTAATACTGAATGTAAAATTCAGCAATAAAAACTTGTTTTTGATTAGTAATCCAAACTATTTCATTTATTTTTGATTGGAGATCTCTCTAAATACAGAGATAGATTAAGTTGAGGAGTTTCCATCATACTGTTATAAGTACTTAGATTTTTTGCTCATGTGTACATCTTGATTTCAACATAAGCAAAAATAATAATTCTCCAAATATACTAGTAACTATAAGTGGAGTGAAAAAGAATTAAATGAGAAGTAGCTAAAAACTTTGACTTTGTGAGGTTTAACAAAGTAGGATAACTAAGAAGCTAAAAAAAAACTACGAAAACTACCCGTATAACACTTATGTCACCGTTGATTTAGTAATTATATTTTGAAGTTCTTATTAATTTGAGTAGTAGCGAAAGTAATAATTCTTCAACACTTGAGGTAGGCCATTTCTTATACCTCAAGATCGTCGAAGGGTAAATACACTTGACTTTTTTAAAGACTGATGATCCTGAATGGATCTGTCCAGTTTGTATTCATTCGATGAAATGAACTACATTATCCACTAGTCATGTGGTGTTTATTTGTAACCACTAATCCACAATGATATATATGATGTACTTGACTTTATTACTGTATGAATTATATAATTATTAATTGATCAATCAAATATATCGTTGAAATTAAATTATGAATACAATTTCTTGAGTTCGAGATTCATTTAAGCAACAATTTCCGATATCTGATTGACTCCATCACACTAGTTATAAAATAAGTCAGTAACTAAATATCATGAATCGTAAAAGTTTATACTTCCCCATTATTGATATTCATGGATGAGTTAATTGATCTGTTGTAGCATATAGGGTCCTTGTACAATTTTTTTGTTTGTCGAAATCATATCGATATTATTTTATCCACGGCATGTGATTAACATTCACTAAACAAGTGATCTTTCACTACTCACTGGCATGATAGATAACCGCTTGACGTTTGAAGCAATTTGTTTTAAATTGGAATCTCACTAGAAAGACATAACTAACGAGTACTCAAAAGTGTGACTTATACTCCTGAGATTTAATTGATCTTAGTACTAAGTGGAAGTATCTTAAAAGCAAAGAAGATTTACTTAGGTAACTTCTTCAATTTATGGATAACTTTTATCTAGAACGTATATTGGAAACCAGAGGGAACCAGATATATATTTCACGATATTTTGAAAATCTTTATCAGTGCTCATCTACAGTCAAACAAAAAATATTGTTTTCGAAGTAAGAGATTTGCATTTATCTAAAAATAATTCACTCCTATAGCAGACTTTTGTCTTAATATCTGAAGTCCCTCTATACCCTCGGTCACTAATAAAGCTTAGAAGTTGAATTGGTTTGATTTTTTAAAAAAAAGATATCCATCTGAAGAAAAAAAACATTTTTGGGATATTTTAAGAGATACCCAGTTCAGTTCCTAATGAAATTCCCATACATAGTTGAAGCGTAATTATTTAGAAAAATAACTGTGGTATTCTTGCCAAAATATTATTCTATTCCTCTGTAAATGAGATAAACAGATCACTAAATATTTTTTTTTAAAACAGAGCAATTTGTTTTCCAATGTGTTACTGTTCACTGGTATATTTTGTTCTGTTTTGTTTTTTGCTAACATAAAAACAACAAAACATTCCTATCTATTAAACATTTACATAGTTTCCCAGGTGTTTTTCTTTTAGAAAAATGATCATGATTACCTGATTTGGAAAGCAAGTTATACAATTACTGATTGTTGTTTATTAACATAAATAAATATCTAATCTTTTAATTGCAAAACTAAGTTCATCAACTATTGTTTTTACACCACAGTAAGGTTATCGGAATAAGTTTAGAATAAATCAATTCGAAATGGATTGGATTATCTTGTTGTTAATATTCCTGACTGGCCAAAAATTGATTAAATTTCAGTTAAAAATATCAACAATGAAATAATCCAATCCATTTCAAATTTAATTAATACTCATATTTGTTGCACTAGTGAGTGGTTATATGAACTCAGTAGCTAAGTGGGCAACGCGATAATGTTTAAAGTGAACGATCCTGGGTTTGATTCTTTTAGTGAACACTAACTCTAGGATCCAGGCACACTGGCTGACGAGTCCTAAATGAAAGGAAACACGCATCCCGGATTTTACATCTAGCCACATTCCATCTACTCTATGCCAAAATTTAAAATAGTTTGTATGTTACGAACGGTAGGCTGTTTTGTAGTAGAAAACTGCGCTCCTGTATTTTATTTATGTACATAAGTGTTGGTGCTTCTCTAAGAATAGTCTTCTTATCGTTTTGTTGAGCTGAACTAAAATGATTTTTTTAGTTAAAAATAAACTATTGACTATGTGATAATGGTATCTTGTTAATGAATGAACTGGAGATTTTGGTTAGAGCTACACTTCTGCTTAAACTACATCGTACTTGAGAGAGACATTACTCATAGGAAATGTATAGATACATACAATAAAATATTATTAAGGTAAAAATCTATTTATAAGTTTCTAATCTTTACTGCGATAGAGTTATTTTTGTTAATTAGTGTAACGATCAATCTTCCTATAACCAATATTGTCATTTAGTATTCTCTGTTACGTTTTCGAGTTCTAAGTTTAAATTTTACTTCAACTGTTGAGACACTTTCTTATGGATTTTTAATAGATTATTGGTTTAGGACTTGTGGTTTTTGGTGCTTTAATACGATGGAATGAAAAACTTTTGGTTGAACGGATTACTCCTACGATTATCGAAGAGATAGATGATGAGAATGCACGTGAAGCTGCTCAAAAATTAGTAGAAGAAAAAATAACGTTATTTGGTAAGTATTTTCTATTCCAGAAGTTTTATTTTAAAACAACACGGGTCGAAGTAATACTTCAAATAGCAAATCAGTTACATCTTATTCGAAAAATAATTAATAGTATACATTTCAGACCTCCATTGATATGTGGATGTGTACAATTTCACAGATAGTGAGCTATAGACCCAGTTGGTAATATCCCCAACCTCTTTCTCTGATCGTATTCAGTGAATACAAAATGATGATTTCTTTATATAAATAAACGACTTTGGAGCAATTAACTTTTATCACTTCCAATGCTTTTCAAGGTATGACTGAAGAAAGAATTTACTAAAAATCGATATTGATTTCTAAAACATAAGTTTACTGATACTGTAATTCCCACATAGAGTTGGGTTGTTAAACAGATTCTTGCTAATTGTCGGTGATGAATATGACACTTTTTGGTATGTTATATAAGATGAAATGTCAGACATTTTATTGATGCTTAAATATTTAAACACGTTAACGGCTTCTTTTCCTATGTTATTTCCTTAATTATTATAACCAGCTTCTTATGGTTTGGCAATTTTCTTGTTCGGTCTCTTCATTTGCGTATTGTCGCTCTGTGGAATATGTGGAGTATGCTGCAAGAATAAAATCTTACTTGGATTAGTAAGTTATTAGTAGCAACTACTTTCAAATTGTTTTAAAACTGGAATACTTTTTGTTTTAAGTTGTATTTGATTAACTATATGGCAATGAACCATGGAAGTTATTTAAATTACAAAGTATTTTCATGAACTAAACTAAAACACGACATGAAAGTGAAGATGCTGTTCCCGATTAAAATAAATTAAATGACATAACAGTCATCTTATTCCGTTGGTTTGTTTAATATGACTGAGCTAACATGTTTTTAAACTCAACTCACCAAATCAGTCCAATAATCTTGAGGAAGTAAAGTTAATGGGCACATGTAAGTAAATTTGAGCTCATCATAAACGGGCTGTAATGTACATACAAACTCTTCCATTAGCCACTATCAAAATGCTTTCTATTATGTTAGAAAAATCTGAAATTGATTCATTTCTGAAACTTAATTTTAGGCCAACATTTATGAATCTGAATACAAGTAATCAGAGTGGAGGTTTTGTGGAGATTGTAATAATTTAATATTTGAATTCATGAGTCGACTAAAGCTAGACCACCATGGGAAACCTGGAAGCACCATACTGCCTTTTGACTCTAGAATGGGACTACTCAATAGTGCGCATCCACAACCCCTAATATGGGACTCGAACCCAGGATCTTCGGTCTCGCGCGCGAATGCGATAATAACCATCATGTGCACACTAGTGACTGGCTTCAAGAGGTATTTCCCGGAGTTCTAGTGAGAAGCCGTGACCAGTGGAGCTCGACCGTGTCTGTTATGAGGCAGTTACTCACTGAAGACAATGGTGAACGGTCGTGCAATATGGTGGATTGGTTGAAGTTAGACATTAAGGTGGTTGGATGCCGACTCAGTGGTGCAGATGTTAAGCGTTGGCATGTGAGACAGAAGGTGATGGGTTCGACTGCCACGTGTGCGATCGTGGATGTTCACTGCTGAGGAGTCCCATACTAGAACGGAACGGTCACCCAAAGCTTCCAGCTTTCCAATCCTGGTCTAGCTTAAATCGACTCATTAAGTCAACTATTAACCAATTCAAGCGTTTCATAAGAACATTGAATAAACAACTGTTTTATAAAAGATTATGTTGTAACTGTAATTGTAAGCTTTCTTCTAATTCTTTATATCTTATACAAATCCAATGTAGCAGTTGGTTAGGTCCATGTCTATCATTCAGCTCTCTTGATTAACTGTCTTAGTTATGCATTTGTAATTGATTCTCTATTACTGTCGGATAATCATAATGTCCCAACGGCCTTGTCATAAACAGGTGGGTTTTCAAAAATCAAACTGGTTGGAATTCTCTTTCTTGAATAACATTAGTTGGACGTTTGTAAACAGAAACTCGTGATTTATCAACCGTAATTTCGACTAAAATGAAAAAGTGTGTGATAATCACACAACTGATGGTTAAATAATAAGAATAATACGTTAGTCAGTCGCGCATATCTTCAATTAAGAATCAGATAAACTCGAGCAACTTTACTTCTGTGTAACTTTAGTTTTGATTCAATGTAAGTCTGTCAGCTAAATCACAGTTCAGATCACTTTTCTAAATCATTGGGTGATATTCAGTTACTAATTAAAAAACGTCTAGCTTTCATTTACCCACCTTAGCTGATTTGTTCACCCTCCTCTTTCCTTCTTTAAATTATAGTGTATTATTAATTCTTCCTTGTTATTTCATCTGACTTGTTCTATTTTCTGTTTCCTCCCTTTCATGTACCACTTACTTTTCCTTCTATCGTTTTTATTCTACCACAAATTGCGAAGAAATGTAGCAAAAAGAAATCCAGATGTAAAAAGAGCTGAATAAGATACACTGTCTGCAAATACTTAAACACTTTACTATCAAACATTTAATAAATTTGTTTTCAAGATTATCATGTAAATCATAAAGCATGAAGAAAATAGATAACCTTTGCAGATTAGAAATAATAATCATGCTTCCATCTCTTTCACTTCCTTTTTCTCCTGGCCCACACTGCTAAACTTTATTCTACTTTCTAGGCAGTGTTCCGTTTCACTAATGGTTATATGTATAGTATAAATTGATCTTAAATTTTGCTGTGCATCCCATCACAGTTTTTCAAGGCATCGAAAATTTCAACATTGATATTCGTTGAGTGTAGTTTAGTTTCGAAAGTGTTGCGTAAACTAAGACTGATTAGGAATTACCTCCATCAGTAACCCAGGAATATAAGTTGATGATCACATGTAAACTCATGGCGTGTATTTCTTTGTTACTAACTATTTAATTAAATAAAATAAATGTAACTAAATTCATCAATTTAAAAATAACACATGAAATAAGATGCTGTCCACTTCAACCCATGAAATATAACTATATGAGACTCATAACTGTATAAAATACCGTTGCTGTGCCAACAGATTATTTATTCTTAAAATTGTCATTAGTTAAAGTTTATTATAATGTTGACTCTAACAGTTTGGTTAAGAATAGAATTACAAGATTTAGACGTCACTCAAAAAGCAGTAATGTAGGGAATTTTTGGCTGATATAAATTTTTCATTTCACTCATAATTGAGTATCGTTATGGTTCGATTGATTTAACTTAATTATTACAAACTACTGATATTGAATTAGTTTGTACACAATATTCTTTATTTTAATAACCTTGATTTTATTTTTTCAGGGTAGATTAATTTTAAAGATAACTTGTTGATTATTAGAACAGAAATACAGACCTATGAAATGATAACCTTTTATCATTACAACATAGAATTGCAGAATCGTTTAATGTCAACTAAGATGAACTGACCTTAACCTATAGAGGTGTTAATTAATCAAAAGTAAACATGTTGATAAACAAGCAAAGTATATTACAATAACAAAATTCAAAGGGCAATTGAACTACATCAACGTAATCAATGACCAACTGATTTCAGTCCGCTTGAACAAATAAATTTAGTAAGAAGTAGCATTACCAAGGTTTGACTTGATAATTTAAAATAAACTGAACATTGGGTAGATTGTTGGCTATAAATTAATGATATATCTGTGATATCACAATGAGTGAAAATTAGGGTTTCTGACTACGAGTTCTATTTTGACTTAAGTAAATATTCCGCCTTATTCCTTTGTACTATTTAAACTTATGTTAATCCAAACTAAGTCGTGAAAAGTCAAAAATTTTGTTTTTTGTTTTTTCTCATTGAGGAGTAGCAAATGAATTAATAAATAGTAAAATAAAACTTTCGTCATTAGTATAGCGTTTTTTTTTAGATCTTTTTAGGCCTTTTGCCTCTAACAGGCCATACACAGTCGACCAAGAATCTGCAACCGACCCTATCTTGTTCTCTTATATCCAATTGCTCTATTCATGATCTTAATATCCACATCCACTTCCCGGTGTTATATGTTTCTTGGCCTACTTCTCCCTTTTGTCTCGAAGATTTCAAATTTGAGTTTACCCCATGGTGCGATTTGATGGTTTTTATAAATTATTTCTTATCCAACTCGTGTCTTTTTAATTTTCTCCTCGACCGGCAGCTGGTCTGCCACAGTAGATTATTGCTGATGGTCTCCGACTGATGAATATAAGCTTTCTTTGGTAGATAATTGTTTATGAAAACCTGTATTGTTTTGGTCGTGTTAGTGGTAGTTCTCTAACTTTCAGCACCATATATTTGAACTGTTCTAACGTTATTTTTGAAAGGTTTGATTTGGAGTTTATGGTATTCTTTAATTGCACGAACATTGCTCTTGCTGTGCCAATTCTTGCCTTTACATCTGCATCCGATCCTATAAGTGATACTGTCCAGATACGCAAAGGCTTTCAGAGCTTGATGTTCGCCAAGTTGTATTTCTTCTATTGCAGAAGCTGCTGCTTCACTGGGTGTCTTTGCCTGCATTTGTTACTATGTATGTGATAGAAAGGTTAAGTCATCTGCGAAGTTCAGGTTGTTCAGCTGTATTCAGGCTGTCAAATGTATTCTGTTTTCCTTGAAATATAGAGGTCTTCAAGACCCAACCATAAGATTAAAGGGCGAAAGTATGCAACTTTGCATGATGCCGGTCTTCGGTTGGGATGCATCCGTGAGCTGCCCTTCATGCATGACTTTACAGTGTAGTCCTCAGGTATTCCATAGTGTCGAAAAAGGTTTCATAAGATTCCCATAATCACGCTGTCAAATGCTTTCTCATAGTCAAGGAAGTTGATGTATAGTGACGAGATGTATTCAGCCGTTTCTTCAATAATGATTGGCAGTGTTACGGATTGCTTGGAAAATATTCTATCTTTTCAAAGTTTTTGGTCTTCAAGTTGAAAGTCTACTTATTCTTTCAATCGGTTCAACGACACTTGAGTACTTTACTGGTACTGACAATGATATATAATTTCTATGGTTTCCACGCTTACCTCATCGCTTTATATTTTCTATATTTATTTTCAAGTGGTCTGAAACTTATGTAAACTCTTTACATCTATAATTGTCGTACGATCCATTTTGTCTGTTTCCGGATTCCATATAATTACTACGTCAACCTCCTATGTCTCCTTAATTCCGTCTCCAAATAACCTCACACCTGTTTATTCACAGACATAGTTATGTTTGCTAACTTTTATCATTCTAATTTCCTCCGTCATCAATGTTGATAATGTTGGGGTGATCTAGAAAACTTCTCTCACAAGACAAGAAAGGCTCAGGAAACATTAAGAAGCATTTTGTCCAATCAGCGTTCACTTGAAGTTTAGCCAGAAACATCAAGAAAGCAAAAAGTAACATGTAGAGCTTCTGATTAGCTGATTACTATATTTCTCCTATGTTCAGTAGCATTCCAGAATTTTCGGGAAACCCAGGGACGTCTAAAATATATTATAAAAACCCTATATTTTCTGTACTAGAACAAACCTTTGGAGTAAAGTGCTTCTCGCATATTTTGCGCCTTTTCTCTCGTGTTCAGGTCACTGTGTAGTTCTAGCTTGGAGGCTACGAGAACAGCTTAGGGACCGAATATAGCGTTCAATCAGATAACTTCTTATCATTGCATTTCTCAATGTCACCTTTTGATAGAAATAAAGTTATAAGCAGATAATGAGAAACCACGTAATGTAATGACTTCATATTATTCTACCTAAATTGTCATTCTGGCTTTATTCAAACACATGTGTTGCTATTATCTTACATAGAATATATCAAATATACTAGTTATTCGTCTATCTCTCAACAATAACAGTAGTATAAATCAATTTACCATTCATATACTTTAAATTTTTCTAAATATATTTATTATTATTACATACAATATAACCTTTTATTTCTTATTACCATATTCGTTATTCTTTCTAGTTCTCTAATAATATTGGTATCGGTAATGTCATTCCATCAATCTCTGTATTATTCTAATTTAAAATGAGGCAGCATAACTATACTAAGTAGATCATTCCTTTTTAGTATGTTGTGCAATGTACACACGTTTGGAAATGTTTAATCGGTAGAGATTGAAACCTGTAGCATACTGGGTTTTTTTTAAATGACTCATTTAGTTCAACAGTTTACAGAAAATAATTAACACTGACGAAAAAGAAAGATGGACCATTTTAAAATTGATAGATAAACTGCTGCTTACAGCTCATGTAATATCTGTTCAAACTGGATGATTTTTAATCCTTAATTTTATTTTACATGTTTTTATACTAAATCAGATATCTTCGTCAGTGAATTTTTGAATAGGAGTAACTCTGAAATTATGATGCTATCCAGCTTGATGCTGGAATGTCTACTGTACAAAGCCTAAAATGAACAAATAACTCAATTTGAACACATATTGATTTATATTGACTTCCTATTCTCATCGCTTAACTAAACCGTTTCTGAACCATCAGAAATATTATGGAGATAAACTAACTTGTTTTATATTTCTTTGATACTTCTGTTGTTTCATATAACATTTATTTCAGTATGCAGCATTTCTTCTAGTCATATTTTTGGCGCTGCTTGTGTTCACTATTGTATTTGGAACACGTAAACACTGGGTGGGTTGATTCTTTTTATAATGAATTATACTAAATAAAATAGTAAACCCCTATGATTGCATGCTTTAGTATTATTTGGTTTTGTTAAACTAGTTATTTTTTTTCGAAGACAGGAAAGTCTGATATTTTAATTATGACAATAGACGTATTTGGAGAGAAACACTGAAAAAGCCTAATTCTTAACATGTAATAGTACTTTACTCACCCAATAACCAACTTCGAGCAATCGCAAGTACCGCGTATTTTTCTAAACTAATATACGGTTACATAAAAATAGTTAAAACTAACAATCGTTTATAGGTATCATTACCAAGGTTTGATTTGATAATTTCGAATAAATTGAGCATTGGGTAGATTATTTAAATAGTTTAAATAGTACTATTTAAACTTGGATTAATTTGGTTATTTAGTCTCTGAAGAAGTGACTTGCACTAAGTCACAAAACGTCAGAAAATCGCATTTTTCTACTCATTGGGATATTACAAATATATTATTTATTTATAACAATCGTTTCGTTTGATTATGTTTCAGTATTCTCTATTTTTAACTTCCAAGCAAATATTACGAAGGAGGAAATTAATCAATAAAGATTATGACTGTATACCATTTATGTCTATTAGATTTCTGTGATTAATTACTCACAACACATTTCATGCATCTATACTGTAAAGATCATTATGAAACAAATTGTCAAGTTTCTTAAATTATTCACTAAGCACATGTAATTGATTAAGTGGTTGTATTAACAGGCATCTTTTTGAAGTACAAGAGAAAAACAGTCAGATTTACTCCAGTTGTAAATTCGAAGTGTACCAGAATTGCCATTAAGAAATTTCGAAGAAAGGAGCTACCACCGAAGGATGCAAGAATGCGAAACACTCATTCAGTCCGTTGTCGTTCATAAGGAATATCTAGACGATAATGATCTATGGTACATGCAATGTTTACTCATTTTTCAAATGTGAATTTTTGTGAGCTTCTGTCATTTGTCAATGTAAAAAATGAGAACCTCACTGGTACTATAGCTTTTAAATTATTAGACCTGATAATTTATCAGTTTCAGGCTCAATTTATCCCTACCCCTATAATGCATTTCATTAGTAATACACAAACTGTACCATTGATCACTTCGTCAGAGTTTTCTTGCCGTTTGTTGACAAAGTTAGCGAGTTCATTGTCAAGTCAACAACTTTCTTACTCACTATTGCAAAGACTTCGGTTATTTGCCATTTAAAGCTTTCCTTTGTTTCCGTTCTTATGGATTTTAATGGTGTGATCAAAGATGGTCACAATGCTGGAAATAAATCGTGGTTTCAAACCTATAAGGTCTATAGGCAAACTTAAGAAAGCCACATTGATTTCTCTATTCCTTCACACTTAGTTTAATTGCTAATGCATCTAGCATTTCGGTGAAAAAGTTACGTAACTGGTACACAATAAATATCATAGTTTCTGATAATTTAAAGGACAAATTTCTCTGTATAGAGCAATTTATATAAGATTTGTTATTAATAACATGTAATAAAATTCATCAACTGAGTAAGTGCAGTTTACAAAAAGGAGTGTTTTTATTTAGAAATTCTGAATTTAATTGTATAATATTATATAAGTAGTACTACACAAAAGTAACTAATTTGGCTTTCAAAACCACAGACAGTACTGAACAATCAGGACTACTTTACAAGAAAATGTGTTTATTGGTTGAAATCACCCCATAATCATATTGAATGACAATACCCGAAATTACATCACTTATTCCTATGTATCCCATCTTCAAGTAAGTAATTGGGAGCATTTGGATCATTGGGAGGTGTGTTCATTCAAGAACCAGCATTATTTGAATAACAATTTCTCAATACTAACTAGCTTTAGGATGAATGTCATTCAGATCTAACAAAATTATGATATTTGAAGTCAGCCTGATCGGAACTGAAACGAAATGGCTCTGACAACATAGGATGATGACAGTTTACCAAAAAACAGAAAATGGGGACCATTGAGTTTCAACTCAGTAGATGAATAATATGTTCCGAATAACATTTAAAGGTCCTTGGTATGATCTTGTACAGATCGCGAATATGCCCTTATATTAAATCTCACTTTATTGACTATTATTAGTTCTACAAATATTCCTAAATGTAAAACTCTCAAATTTCGTTTTCATTACGTTAGCCAATCCAAACATCTCATTTACTCATGTTAGACATATTGTTTAAACGTCCATAATAAAATAACCTATGAATAATTCCCATTTATTTCGGTTGTTGTAGTTTATCTCTTGTTTATACATGCCATATTTCATTGAGTTTATTTATATTATGTATTTAAATTCCAGTTCCGTGATGAGCTGGGTATAAGTTATAGAAGATCAATTACTAGTGATTATCATATGGACAATAATTTTCCACCAAACACCGGTTTTACTGTATTTGTTAATGAAATTCAACGAAAGGTAAGATCCATGGCTTTGATTTTAGACATTTATATGCGTTATTTCCACTGCTTCTGTGTATGGAAATAAAAAATAAGTATCCTATTTAGATTTACTGTTGACTAAGTTCATTAAACTAACAGCCTTATAAATGTATGTTTGCTTACTGAATAAGAAATAGGAAAATCGCATTTAGAGTTTTCGATCAACTTTCTATGTTATGTTCTACATGCTGAGAAAGCTGGACGATAGATAAAATGTCTCAAAACTTGCACAAATACACTTTTCACTAATTCTTTTGTTTCGATGAATACAAGTCATCTATTAACAGCTAATTTTAATACTAAGACTTAACGTAACGACACACTAAAATCAAGTTCACTTCATAAAATACAAAATCATGAATACAGAACAATTCACTTTTGACTTAATTATGTCTTATTAATTGAAATAAAGGCTATTGTTTCTAACATAAAGATACGATAAAAATTTAAATGATCGAGAATTACATATTGAATAGTCCATGGAGAATCACTGATGAAAATAAAGGTTATGTATCAATAAGTAAGCTGTGATAACTTAGATTAAAGAAAGCGTACTTGAACATTGAAGTAATTAAAGTTATAAGAAATTATAAGTAAGCGGTATTTGTTTTTACATTTTTTTTGAAGGAAAAAGAGATTGTAGACTCAGCAATTTCTCACCATTTTATAAAAGTAGGGTGACAGATACATGTAAATAATTATTAAGTGGTAAAACGGTTGACTTATGGTCCTAGTTATATCGATTAAGTAATCAGTAACATTAAATATATTATTCATATATAGTGATGCAAATATCAAACCATAAATAGCTGAGTAAAAAGCTTATTACTTTTTACATTTCCTAATTAAGTGATTTTTTATCGAGTAATGTGTGCAAGCTTAACTATAACAGTTGTTTGATGAAATAAATCCTTATTTATGGGATTTTTCTGTATCCACGTACTTTTTCAAGTGTTCACTGAACACTGTCAACTAGGCATACTTGAATCACACGTGAGAGTAGGTCACATACACTGTTATTTGTGCAGTTGTTCAGCAAAACCACTCATTTTGACAATTTTAAAGAAAATGAGTGTACTTATTCAAATTGAAATAAAACTTAAGTTTCTAGAAACTCACATAAGTGTTTATTGGTTACTAAAGCAATGTCAGCTATGAAATTATGACTGGTATGATTGAAGTGTAAGCTTCCACAAGGATATTTTAAAAATCAGCAGATATCCCATAGATGATATTCAGTTAAATTTCAGAAAATATTTTTATCATCATTATTTAGCTGATTAATTAAACACTTATCTATTTTTATTCAAATCAAGCATAAATGCTGTGGTTCTTTTGACTATCGTGACTTCCAAGATAATGAATCATTCAAACGACAAAATTGTAAGTGCGATTCCTTGTTCTAATCATTCAAAGATTTACTGGAAAGTAACGTTTTTATATGTTCATATTTATAGATTATTTGAAATATGACTTAATATTTCCCTTCTTTAATTAAATCACACGAAGACTGTTTTATATTACCGAGAACAGTGTCAGATTGATTTATCTATAAATATTTATATTTCGTTGGATTTTGCTGCGTCATTAATATCCATTGTAGGACCACATGATACATTCAGTATAAAGTGGAACTAAACAATTGATCCATATTGTCTTCAATCCTGTTCAGAAGTGAAAGTATTTTAATGAGTCTTCTCTTGTTATATCTAGATGGTTGTTTCCTTGATATACCGCGTATAACTTGAGGACTAGAACGCCAGAACCCTTCCAAGTCGCAATGAGAAGACAGAAGACTAGTGAAAGAGATATTGTTCCAGACAGTGTCAATTATAGTACAAAATTGTCAGGTATTTATAGTTTTTAGTAAGAACGAAATCATCGTTACAGTCCTCCAATCCATATACAGAAAGTTATTAGCATTGTCCAATCGGGAAGCTACACATAGGGATTCTAGAATATTCTTCCGAAAGGTGATTGGATGGATATCTTCGGCTCCTTCTGAGCCTCTTACAGCTTTCTCGAGTTCACCCGTGGTCCGTCCTCACATCTCTGCAATCTGATACATTTTTGGATCAAAAATTACATTCATGCTCTTATAATAGTCAATATAAGGTCCTCATCGATAATGTATGTAGGTGGTTTTTGAATATAGATCTAACAACTAATTCAAAGAATACTGTTAAAAATGCTCTATCTAATATTAATCTGATTGTAAACCTAAACTGTAGCAAAGCGTAATATGAGTCGGTAGTCTTTCGTCATCTAACGACATTGAATTTTATCTATTTGAATAATTTTAGGGTGTCATACGTGAAGTTTATCACGAAATGTAACTTTAATTAAGGCTGTCTTCACCAAGTGGAGTAATTTGAAATTAATCTTAAGGGTAACTTTAAGAAAGTGATACCACAGAGTTGCCCAAAAAACTGTAATTTATATTTTATGTCATTTTGAAGGTTTTATGTTCTTTGAGTTAAATTGTTTAGTTGTGAAGCTTCCGTTGTTTTTCTAAACAAAATCATCCACACATATCTTTAAAATAATTGAAATACCTCTAATAACTGAATCAACTTTATACATGGCAAGTTATTAAATATGATGATGAAACAATCATGTGGTCTGTTTCTTTTTTATGTATTTTCTAACATAGAATCAGTATTCTAAAATACTGTTAAGTTATAAAGAAATAAACTACTTTAGAACTAGAAATAGATAAGCTGAAATTAATCTTAACTTAATGAACTTTGAACAGATTCATTCGGATAACTGATGGATTATCAAAATGTTCATTTAAGACTATTCGGAATTCGAAGAGTGCTCTGAGTAGTCGAATACTTTATAAATGAATGTATGCTTGAGAAATACAAATGATTTAGTAGCACTGATAAACAGAGATTCAAAAAATTGTTAACACACATATTACTGAGGAGTTTACTAGTCGGTAGTAAAATCAAGTATTAATGTCGAACTTTATCAATCAATCAATTAATTAATTAACTAATTAATTAATTTAATTATTTAAACTCTCTATTTTTTTAGATAAGATTCCAGCCTCTTGTTGCAAAGATATAAAAGACAAAGAATGCTGGGAACGTCCAACAACACAGAATAGTTATAAAGACATTGTGAGTTTTAATCTTTACCTTTCCATATAAAAGAAAATCGATAAACACTAATATTTTTCAAAAAGGCCACTTTTTATCCTAGAACTGCATTGTGTATATAACATGACCACCATAGATACACATATCTTGGTACCAACCCTTAACGTAGCAAGATAAAATAAAAAATAAAAAGTGTTTAGTAGATGTTAAGCTAATTGACTTAATATAACAGAAAATTAGCTCCACGGCTGTTGTTGTATATCGGAGATACTGAAAAGAACATTCGAAGAAATCATGTGTTTTCACTAATGAACTGTTTTTTTTACAATGAATGTCGTGAAAACTAATATCTATCTAATAATGATATGTTAGTTCATACTTTACGACTATTGGTCTATGAACGTGATAATAAAGAGTGATATCTGATAATAAATGAGGGATAAAAATAACTTTGAGACATTTAGTAACTTCCAGAATAACTGCTAAGAACACTAATTAGTTTTTAAAGTGCTAAACGTCAACAATAATACCATATTTACAGCGAGATATAAACATTTATACGAATATTCGTCAAGATTAGAACGAATAGTTTGACAGTAATTGAGCGCCGAGTATAGAGAAGTCATTATATGTGAAAATTATATTTGAAATATTCTCAGCGATTGAAATATAACTAATTCCAACGTTTCGTCCAGACAAGTTAGCTGGACGAAACGTTGGAATTAGTTATATTTCAATCGCTGAGAATATTTCAAATATAATTTTCACATATAATGAGATATAAACATGTTTTCTCTACTTAATTGAACTATCAAACGGAAAAAGATCTCATGGGTATAACAGTTGGTAAACTCAAGTATTTGGTTTATATAGATAATGCCTGTTGGTGAATCCTTAACTGATGAAACGAATTTTGTCAACAGCACAGGTCGTTAGATCAAATATTGACCTGAAAAATGCTACTAATGATAAAATGTAAATTTGTTTAGAATACAATTCTTTATATTCATTCAAGACTCTTCCTCATATTATTATTATTGATTATGCTTTATTTTTCAACTAAAGTTAAGGAGTTCGATTATCTATATTCCAGTATGTAACTACCCTGCCATTATTCTTATCTGAAAAATGTTAGACAAATATCTCGCAGTTCTATTCGATAAAATCAGAACACTGGTTATAGTATCTATTTAAACATTGTTCACTAAGATAGCATCTTAGTTTTCAATAACTATATATGAGAATTTATAGGCTTTAAATTATATAACGGTTAAGCAGAATACTCCAATAAACATCCGAGAATACGCTTGTTGTAAACTTTTTTACGGGTGTTACTTGGCATGTCATGTTCTGTTTCATCCTTCAGTATTACCATTATCCTTGGCTTTAAAACATACCGGATAACTGAAGTGAAGTATTATTGCCACGCTTAAGTTACGGACTTTACATAAGAAAAGACGACATTCGTTACTTGTAAGTGGAAGAATAGTTTGAAAACCACCGCAAGAGAATGAAATCAATGATTCTACCTATATGGAGGTCCAAAAGTTATGCTAAGTAAGATATGTTAATTTTATCTGTATGGCTATGGTAAATAACAAATATTTTTTACCACTAATTACTGGCCTTCTTTGAGATTTATGTTCCAAGTTGAAACTCGGTGGTAATTAATTCAATCCTGAGGAGGATAAATAAAATGGATCATAGAGAAGTACTAAATCAGGTCAAACTCGACTTTCAGTTCTGTCTGATTTTAAAAGATATTATACTCATCATGAGTCAGCGTCTGAACTTAGCTTCAAGATTACTAGATGCTTTTAAACAAATCACAAACTTCCTACAAAGCCCCGTAGTGTCCTACTAATTTTTGTTATTTTCAAGAGTGGAATTATTCAGGTATACAGAGTAAAGTAATATCAGGAACGTTCGGATTACACCTGTTTGGTCTAACACTATCAAAATTATGAACAATTGGACTATTTGTATAAGACTTAACTTTTGATAGATCTATAGAACAGTGCTGCAGTTAACGCAACGAATTTAAGTAAAATAGATCTGATTTAATACGAGTTAGGAGCTAAACATTGTAGGAGATATACATCACCATTGATTAATAAAATCCAAAAGTATCAACGTTTTACGAGAGAAAATCAGAAGTAGTTTGTAAAGTCCAACCCAAATGCCATTGGTCCGGAAGTATAGATTGTCATACTTTACCCTTCTGATTACAAAAAACAGAAAGTACAGCTGAAATTACATTTGATTCATACCAATCATTGGTTTATATTTGAAATATGGACTGAACATTCGGTCACTAATTTGCGCTTTAAAGATATTGTGTTTGTCACGAAGCCTGGAACCCACGTCCTCTACTCCATGCAGAAGCGCTAGACAGGCTTGACACATGTATCCAGTGTTGTCAAGTCTGTACTGGTTTTTCAGGTTATATCACTTCGTGACAAAAACTATATGCAGTCACTGAACATAAAACAGAAGTCGACAAAGTTGTTTTTGTAATGTTTAAGTATATTTTATTCTTAGTCATCAAAAGGTGATTATTTTGCCTCATGTCACTCTTCAGTGTCATGTGGCCTAATTATTTTAAGCATTTTATTTTCAGTCACTTGTTTATACATTCAAAAGTTCTTTCATCTATATTGATTTATACACTCAGTTATGATTCACATTTGTTATAAACGGAAATATAGTTCAAGCGAGTGGGCAAAAGAACTTATATTTAGATCATTTTACAATTTAATATGATTTTCTCATTCACTCCTTTCATTTTCTATTTTTGTTCACCCTTTTCAGGGTTGTTTCGAGTTTCTGTGGTCAGCGGCACAACCAAGCTATCGAATTATTCTTTATATCTTGATTGGTCTGTTATTACTTACGGTTAGTTAATTAACTTATTTTTTAATTCAGCATCTAATTCATAGGAACTATATACTACATGGTGCCTTCATTAATTTAACCAAGGCCAAAACACTACGAATAATGAAACGAATCCATTCTATTTCAAGGCTTCTAATCAGTTGCAAACAGCTTGAAGTTACAAGAAACAATGTAACTAGAAATAACGGTATGATCCATTTTAGTTGGTCAACTTCATACTGATATCTGAAACGAATCTGCAAGTCACAAAGATCAACATTGAATACAAGATTCAGTACTGCAGTAAATTAAAAGTATTACATAATATACGTCAAAAATAAGATAAACAACTGGCAATGTAAATTGGAGTTAATTACCTATAATTATTGTCTAGTCTTTGATAATATTTTATCATAATTATCGGTAGTTAACTCCAATTTACATTGCCAGTTGTTTATCTTATTTTTGACGTATATTATGTAATACTTTTAATTTACTGCAGTACTGAATCTTGTATTCAATGTTGATCTTTGTGACTTGCAGATTCGTTTCAGATATCAGTATGAAGTTGACCAACTAAAATGGATCATACCGTTGTTTCTAATTACATTGTTTTTTGTAACGTCAAACTGTTTGCAACTGATTAGAAGCCTTGAAATAGAATGGATTCGTTTCATTATTCATAGTAATTAGTTGAATAAAAAGTTTAGTATATTGCTTGTTTAACATTATCAAAGTATTCCATAACTGACAGTATCACGGAGTACGTTTTCTGTAATTATGCCAAACAATAAACCCCACACTCAAATCTAAAATAACCGGAGAAATAAATGTAACCGGACTACTCAAAAGTGGGGAGTGATTAAAATCATGAATCGATCAATGTTAGACCACTATTAAAAACCTGGAAGCACTGGAAAGCCGTTTCGTCCTAGTATGAGACTCTTCGGTATTGTATATCCACGATCCAACACTCAGAATGGCCATTCAGTATTGTGGATTGATTGACGTTAGACATTAACACCGTTGGATGCGGGATCACTGGTCTAGAGGTTAAACGTTCGCGCGCGAGGAATCCCATGCTGTGACGAAACAGCCATCCAGTGCTTCCAGGTTTTAAATGGTTGTCTAAAATTGATTGATTCATGAACTCAATAAAAACTCAACAATCTCTACATCCTTATACTGATAAGAAGTGACTGTTAAATTAATTATTCACATGTTAACTCGTATTTTGAGTCCTTTCAGTTCTAGATGTTATAACTTACTTACTTACACCTGTTACTCCTCGTGAAAGAGCATAGGTCGCTCACCAGCATTCTCCATCCAACCCTGTCCTGGGTAGATGTTATAACGGGGAAAAATAATACGTGACTAACCGTTTGATCTGGTTGTAGCCACGTGACTTACTGATGCAATCAGCTACTGAAAAGTTATTAAGAAACAGAACAGAAAATAAGTTGGTTCATGTGATAAAACTGCGTGCCTGTGTACAAACTTTTTTTTACAAAATCAATATGATTAAGATTGATTTAAAAAGTAAATAGCTGCATGATTCCTACTTCATAGGTCATTAATTTATTAAATTAAGCACTGATCAACAGGTTTGCTTAATTGCCACTACAGCATTGTTATGATGAATCAACAGGGAGAATAAGTTGCTACATCCCCGAAGAAATAGTTGAGAATTAAGTCAAGGCAGTAGAGTACAGTCCTGATTACTTTTGGAGCTGTTAATGGAAGTAAAAATGGTCTACAGTAAGATTAAAGGTATTAGTCAATGTTTCCTAGAAATTAATGGTTTGACTGGAAAAAATCATTTTCTAAAATGATGTTGTTCAAGATCTCCAGGATTTTGCTCCAAAGTAGAATGATGATTTCATTTTTTTCACTAGTTTAAAAGACAAGATCAATTTATAGCTACCAAAGCTGTACGTTTATTATTTATTTGTGATGATCTGTTATAAAATATGGTGAACAAATGTCTCTTGACAGAAGTCAGTCAAACTATAATAGGATCATTAGATTTCAGCTTATAGATGGCTATTTTAACTGATAAATTAATTAAAATTGAAACCTATCGAGCAGTCTAACCTACAAAAAGCAACATATAACGAACATAAAACACCACCACACAAATAACTATAAATTCATTTTTCATTTATCAACCGTCTTACTTGATGATTGCTATATTTTCTTTTTGTTTCCTTTTATTCCATAGTTTACATTCGCGGTTATCTCCATCTACCTGCTGACACGATATTCAAGGGAGAAAATGCAATTGTTGTAGAGAAAACAAACAATTTCACCATTTTATTTGCTTTATATCTCTGTCTCACCTAATATCCCAGTTGAATTTATCTTTAGCACATATACCCTATTTATTTAACGTATTATATACAAATACCTAGGATCATCATATAAATTATAAAATGCGAAACTGTCAATTTATAAATATTTGATTATGGTTACACATTTTTGTCATCAGTGTACTTCGTACTGATCGGTTAAACACATATCCAGAGTTAAATTAGCGCCAAGGAAAAGTTTCGATTTAGGAAAAACAAAAACAAAACAAAAGAAAACTGTAAAAAGTGAACAGTTTAGAAAAGGTATCCTGTAAGATCCAATTTCACTCGTCTTTTCTTCTTATTTAAGACGCTTAATTCATCTTCAAAGTGTTACAAATAAACATTTTAAAAGCGAATAACGTTTAATTTAGAAAAAGTCACTAGAAAAAAACCTCTTATCTAACTTTATTTTATTGTTATGCGGACATTTATTATTAGTCACCTGACATGTGTTATTCTACTTGCTTTCTCATTATATACATATCAATATAAACATTAATTCTATATTATTCAAATTATATTAGCGCCTAACCAATAAATACTGCACATGGCTTAATAATATGCAAGTACTATCGTACATACATTTTCATATGCTCTATGTACATGTAGTATATATATATGCTTATCATTCTGCTAACTTATTCACCCATTAAATATACTTCATGTTTATACCCCATCCATGTTCTTATTGATTATTAACCATATCTTTTTAGAATTTTTATTGTTAATATTTATATGCAAATTAGTTAGAAATGAAAGTGAACAACATTTCATATTAAAGTTAATTAATAGTCATTTAAAGTTTATCTAAATTTCTGAAAATTGAACAGATGATTTTCATATTCATATCAGAAGGGTTTTGTGGATATGATAGTAAGTTCAATGATTGAGATCATGAGTCAATTGAAGCTAAACCACCGTGGAAAACCTGGAAGCACTGGACGGCCATTTCGTCTTATTGTGAGACTCCTCAGTAATTAAACATTAACACCGTTGGATGCCGGCTCAGTGGTCTAGTGGTTAAGCGCTCGTGCGCGAGACTGGCAGATTCTGGGTTCGAATCTCGCGGGGGCGGGATCGTGGATGCGCACTGCTGAGGAGTCCCACAATAGAAAAAAACGGCCATCCAGTGCTTCCAGGTATTCCATGGTGGTCCAGCTTCAATTGAATCATGATCTCACCCATTGAGATTTTCTTATTCAATCAATTATGATACCTTATCTTTATATTTTGGTTTAAGCTGTTGTTTAATATCGAAAATCTTCATCCGACTGCAAATAATTCATTGTGTAGCTTATCATGAGCGAAATTATACATGAGCTAATTGAACAGGAAGAAAATCCTTGTGAAGCATTAGAATTCATGACTAGTCTACCAAATTAGGAAACTGATTTCCTTTCATTTTCTTATCTAATCTACAAGTGTCAATAATATGTATTAGTTGACAATTTGATTGACATGTACATTGTCATAGAACAGTACAAATAATCTAAAATGACGAATCTAAAATTATGGTACTCAGTTTTCAGAATCATACACAGCCTACTAAATCCCTACATCTTCAAAGTTTACGAGCATACTATTTTAAATTTTTACTTCGGATTTTGTATATTCCTTGTCAAAGACTTAAAACATTCCATCTTCTGAAACTATGGACGGTGGTTGCTGATTTATATATTTTTACTACAGTTAGCGTTGATTACTTTCGTTGATGCTTCTCTCCTACTTTTCAAACAAACATACACATCTTAAAATAGTTCAACTCACAAATAATATTATAAGAACAAACCAGTTTTCCTGTTTTACGACAGTATGAACACTAAATAATTAAGTTCCTTATTTCCATAAAAAAAAATTTCGATCTAATAATTTTTTGGATAGAAGACAGATTCTCCCAGAAAATTTCAGACAGTAGGATTATCCTAAGAAATGAATGTTTTTTGAAAGTTTATGTACTACCAGTTTAAACTGTTGCGCTTTTTGCATTCCAAATGACAAGTCATAGAATTTGATTTTACATTGAACATTGGTGACACTAATCATACCTATACTAAGAAATAACAGCATAAAAGGTGTTCAAACTATGATTCAAGGCTGTATACAGCATCAACTGGTTTAATAGTAAGATAAGTGTGGATATGTTATTATGACAAATGTCACTACATATATATACTTTTTGGTTGTGCGTACGCGTATTTCATTTCGCTTCAAATAAATAAGCATGGTTTTTTTTCAACAAAGAACTCGGTTAATAGTCTATTGTCAGATTGAATATTTTAAGTAGTCGCAAGCTTTTGGACTAAAAATAATGCGAATTAAGACGACACGTTATTTAGGGCCATGGGTCATCTAATCACAATTTACCAAAATTTAAAATATAAGACAGGATGCAGAATTTGGTGTTACGGAATGTTATATAGTAATATATCTGAGGAAAGTTGTAACAAGCTGATGACCAGATGAGGTTAAAATTTTCTCAGTCTAATGGCTGTTTGTGTAATTTTCATAAGAATTTCACTTCATGTTTAGTAAGGGATATCTAACAATTCAGCTAAATATATCGGGTATGAAAATTGAAGTTAGTAAGATATTGACGAATTACAAGCAAAGATGGTGGCTAGTAGTGGGATCCATCTCATTTGGGACTCGTTAGCTAGGTGTACCCGCGTCCTAGAGTTGATGTCCACTCCGGAACTCGAATCCAGTACTGTCCGCTCCAAGCACCATCACGTTATCCGCTTAGCCACTGAGTCCCGATAGCCACTAGTTTGTGCAGTGGGTTGAAGTTTAAATTGACTTGTCATTGTTTATTTGTATCTCCCCATTGTTGATGCCCATATGCCAATAAGCGACTGATCAGTCGCAGTCCTGAACAACAATGGAAAATACAAGTAAATAATACTAAGTGAATTTATTGACGAATCACGTTTCGATATAAACTTCATTGGCAAAAATGGAGATCGAGACAATGATTTCAGATCTCTAAGAGGTATTAAAATGAACTTTGATTTTATAAAATAGATTTCTGAGAAGTTTTGCATTGAAATACAAGGAAAAGTTGTTTAATGGGTAAGTTAAAAATAGAGCAGCCATACCGACCTAGTAATAAAGACTAATTGAAACAGTATTAGTTTGGTGAGTAGAATCACTAGTCGAAACGAGTTATATGTTAGCAAGAGACAATATTTCAAACTCATGGAATCACAAGTTTTTATACAAGACGAATGGATCAGCAAATATATGGGCCCTATAATTACGAAGGTACTGTCAATAATAAAATCAAAACTCAGATTTCACGGAAAGGATGTTCAGTTTTGTATGTTTATTTTAGAATTGTTAAGTTCTTTGTAACTAGCAAAGCATATTGTTATTTTGACAGGAATCAGAGTATATATAAACTCCAACCTTTATCACAGATGAAAATTTAGTAGTGAGAAAGTTCTATCCTCTGTCGTTCATAGGATTAGTGGGTTTAACCGAGGCTAAGCAAAATGGTACATCGAGTTTACTCCTATAAATGCTTACTGCGTCGGTAGGAATACTTTTAATTATTATTATTATTATTATTATTATTATTATTATTATTATTATTATTATTATTATTATTATTATTATTATTATTAGCTTTATTCAATATTATATTTTTGGTACAATATAGAATTCTCAGCGTAAAGTATTTCAACAAGTTTCCGTTTTTTTCTTCTTGGTCGGTCCTGGCGATAAATATTGAGTGATCGCCAGTTAGATGTTGGCAGTACAGTAAATGAACATCTGAATAATGTGCATTCTTTTCGCTGTATATTGCCAGCAACCACGTTGGCTCTTATTGAGTTTTTTGTAACTGTGACAACGAAAGGTTGTACACTTTTCAGAAACGCAGCAGAATAGATCATGTGATTAATAAACATAATGATATATTAAAACAAACAAAAATAGATAACTTGTTGAAATATCTAGATGGCAGGAACAGGTAGCCCAGATGCTCAAGCAGGCCGTCCATTAAAGTCTAAATTCTCGGATGGGACGACAGCGTAGACAAAATGTGTGATTAAGTAACAAATGCAGTGTTTGAATCACGGTTTTTTAAGTTTGATGAATGAATGAATTTGAGAAATCATTTTTCTTTATATTAATGTAATACATCAGTGTCACTATGATCTCTAAAAACAGTTCAAGACCGATACTATGATATCGGATGTTTCTGACCAACTGTAACCATCATCTATTAAATCAAATTGGTGATAGCAGAGGACTAAATACTGTTTCTCAAAAAACTCTCAGCATAAATAGTGTTTATAAGTTTTCGAGATTTATTTATGTTAGTGCGACAAAGAAATGTATTGACCGTTCAGTTCTCAATAACAAAGACACACTGTTTAGTGAAATTCAATGGGAAAAGACACTTCATAAACGGTCGACTCGAACAAAGATGCTTCTGGTTCTTTTATCCAACTGCTTGACAGTCGTAGGATTTATGCTATTTTCTAAAAAGTAGCAAAGATTCATTGTCTATAGTTTTTAGATTATTTCAGATGAATTTGGAAATCCTCCTGTGCTTTGTACTAACCTGGATATTTTTTAAATATAAGTATAAGGAAGAACCAAACATGTATGTTTACGAAGATATCAACAGAATAACATTGTAAACTCATAAGAAAATAACTTTATAGGCATTGCTGGGTGCACAAAGTTAAACCAATCTGGTCAACGTAAAACTTTTGAGGAATAAACTTCACTATAGTATTGTAATTTCAGATTATAGTAGTATTAAATAGTCATTTCGAACTACTTTAATTTCTCCATTTATTAAAGGAATATATTTTTAAAATAGAACTATTTAATTGGTTGGATATAATATAAGCTTACATGGTTCCTCAGACAGCACACAGTACTTTGATATCATTAGTAGTTTCTTACTCTCTGATACTGATTTCTTAAGTGATATTTTCAGTACAAAACCTTGTTATTGGTTGACAACTAATGTCATGTTTATATTTTTATTACTGACAGAAATTAACTTCAGTACTCTAGTTTTTAATTTGAGTGGTTGTATTCGATGATTCATGGTTGATTGACAGAATTCAGTTGACAGAGGTTTATAAATAAACAATATCCCACATCTAAATGTGATGCTTTCACGGAATCATTTACCTTAAAAGTACTAAGAATCATTGAATCACAAGTTATTATTGAAAATAAGGTTTTCATTTGAATTTGAAAAGAATATATTTCTCGTCATTTTAGGGGTGTTGCAATCGTATGCAACAATAAAGAGAGTATCGAATGAATGGCCTTTAATTACTATGTATTTATCAAACCATTAAAAACAAAAACGATAAATAATACAAGGAGTTCGACGCAGGCTGTCATTAAGTTACTGATTGTGACACTGAATATTGCGGATCCAAGTCTGATGAAATGTAAGATTTGCTAACTTTACAGATATATTTTGCTGCGAAATTCCATGATGTGAATAGCCTAGATTTAAAAATTATTGTTGATTGGTTGGGAAGATGAAATACTAAACCTCCTTCAACATGATACGGAACCATTTGAATTTGATGATTGAAGATAATCGTCAGGAAATCCTAGACTTTTGTGCTAGTTAGCACGTCAAAAGGGTACTTTCGATGCTCAAGGAAGTGGTGTGCCTCATAGAATTTGCCGGGTTTAGTAATATAAGACATCACTTTTGAGCTGTAACTGGTCTGTAGGACTAAGATAATTCTCCTCAAGACTACAGATGCATCTTGTTAGTCGGTGCCAACTAATAGAAAACCCTGGTCTAGGGTTTCCTAGTGAGAACCTCGAATCATCTAGCACAACC